TATTATGTAGCAACATTTGTTCAAATATATAATAAGTAATTCTTATAACATATGCACTTTGATTGATGGATACATAAGGTAATCATGATCATATACGAGCAAGTTGTATCCTCATTATACAAATCTAATCTATATGCAACTGAAATAGGATATTACCTCTTATCGAGAGTCTGAACCAGTATAAATATGTATGTCATCATCTATATACTTTTGATTTTATGCATCTTATAAATTATATTGCCGAACCAGAAAATCGACAGGAAGAGAAGGAAAAATGTCTCCTACGTAGTGACCCTCTTAATGACTCCTACGTGGCGACACCACAGTTGAAGCTATAACGCGCGTGCGTCGTGCCTCGGCCGCAAACTCGCTGCGTTCGTTCCGTTCTCCGGCCCCGCGTTGAATCCTCGCAGCTGTGGCCCAACAGAGCAAGAAGAAGCCAAACTAATTTAATTAAATTTATCACTACATAAAATCAAACCAATAAATTAGTCCCACAAAATCTATCTAGTCAATATATCCTCGCAGTTGCGGCTACCTGCACAGGTATGCTTCATCAATAACCGATTAAATTAATTGGGACTATTATTAATTAATTAGGAGAAGGTCAACACATGTATGTATAGGAGAGTTTGTGTGCGATAGATGGCGTAAGGTCCTAGTAGAAGCTTGGACCACATTTTTCAGCCAAAATATTTTCTTAATCGATCTCTTTTGGTCAAAGCAATAGTGCGATCGACGTAGATGGCGCGTACTTTTGTGGCGTCATGCGTGCTGTATTGCCTAATAAGTGGCGATACGTCAGCTGAGTTAATTACTCCCTCCGGTTTTAGTTTAATTGACGCTTTAGACAATGACACCCTCTATAAAATATATCTTTGACCTTATTTTTCTATTATAATATATACAATAAATAAATGCATGTTTACTTTTATTATAGTGTTTTGAAAGGCAAATCTATATATGTTTTTCTAGTTTCTTTAAACTAAGTATTTTTAAAATTATTAATGGTCAAAGTTATAAAAGTTTAACCTCAATCTTATCCAAAACGTCAATTAATATAGAACCAGAGGGAGTACAGTACTAGTCAAGATGCATGAAGAGCCGATGAAGGAATTAATTGGTATTTTGTGGATGTTTTTCATGTGTTTGATCCATAATTTCTAGCTTTCAGATTTATGTTTGGAATTTGAATTGCTGTTCCATTTTTTTTCCCTTGAACATGAATTGACCGTGATGTTTTCGAGGACCAAATGGAAGGCAGCTAGGTTGAAACACTGGTGGTCGGTTCGTTAGGTTTATATATAGTGTTGTCATCCAAATGTTTCTCTTCTCCCTTCTTTCATATGCTTTAGTGGACTATAGCTGTCCTGTCTCATATAACCGTATCTGCACGCATACATATGCGTATAGTCTGCAGTATACCGATTTTAATCATTGGAAACGAGTATAATCAATGTTGAACCTAGAAAAAAAATTATTAACAAGGGTCTCGATGTGCTTATAATTTAACAACTACTATAATGATTAATATGACTAAAATAGTTTAAAATAGACAAGCTACCTAGTATCATCTGTCTTGTTCAATATATGTATTCTACTGAGCGGCATTCTTATATATTGTATCTAACACCGAGTTGCTATAATATGTAGAAATGTCGCTCAGTAGTATACATATATATTGAGAGATGTGTACTCGACCATACTGGCTAATGCACACGATAAACAAACAAAGACCAGTGATAAACTGGTAATACTATATGTATATCAAAACTTGATTAACGTTATATATAAATATTTTTGGAGACAATTAAGATTTAAAAGCAAAAAAGAGAACTAGTATCATTTTAACTAACTTTAAAAGAAATGCAACCATAAAATTAACTGATCACAAACCAGATTAACTGATTAACAAGTCAAAACTAATTAATTCTATCAATGATTCTGCTCAATTCAAAGCATATTAACTGACTAGCCAGTCCAAACTAATGCAGGACCAAACTAAAGTTGTCCATAAACACAAAGACAAAACGAGGAAATTTATTACACATGCGGTAGTCACGACTTAATTTGGCCCGAATTTCCGGCGGTATGTGTACGGAATGCCGTGTCGCTGAACCAGTAGCAGCTAGCGGATCTGATCTGCGGCTGGCCGGCATGCAGGAGGAGAGAGAGAGAGAGATCCCAGCAGCTAGCAAAGTGAATTGAATTGACAATCTAGCTACTCACTCCGTCCAGAAATTTTAAACTTTCATACGTACGGCGGTCTCTTATTTGCTACTTTAACCGATGCTCCCTCTATTCTATAATAAGTTTATTTTTTTCTCCTATTTATCTCAAAATAATATTTTTAAATAATCATTGCAACAAAGTTTGTAAAAATATAAAATAATTGTACTGAGAGTAAATAAAGTGAGAAATAGTTATGTTGATATTTTATAAATTAAATTTATTTTAGTCTTTTTCATATTGTATTTGTATATGTGGGATGAGTAAAAATAAACTTATTTTGGTACGGAGGGAGTAATATCTATAAAAAAATATTTTAAAATAAAAGAGATGTATATTATAGTAGATTGTTTAAAGATAAATCTAATAATACTTTTACGTCAGATTTTTTCTATTAATAGTTAAAGTCTAATAGGTTTGATGTAAGCTTAGTTTGAGACATCGAGAAAAAAATATTAGCGCATAATAAGTTAAATGCTGACTATCATAAATTTAGAAAATGAAGTTAATTGATATTTTAAGAAAAAATTTTAATTTAGTAGTTCGGAAAACGTTAGCAAGCAGTCCTTCCGAGAAGCGGGCTTTATGGACGCAGGCCTTTAGCATTGTTCGAAAGGGCTTTGTATTTGTTGGCATAAAAGTAGTAAACTAGCAGCTGCCCCTGGTAGTGGGCGCCACCGGAGGCAAAAGAAAAAACGGCCACAGAATCTCACACGTACGTACACATATGAGCCACATGGAGACATGGGAAGCTGACCCCGCAACCGACCATGCCCATTTAGCAGATGACCACCTACAGTTTCCTGATATTATTATTATACCACCTATCTCGCACACTCTGGTGCCTGCTGGTGGGTGTTAGTGGAGAAGAACCTAGCTTTTCTGTTTAATTCCTCCCCTTTTCTATCCCTTTTTTCCAACACTTTTTTTGGAATGTGCATATCTGCGTACATGATTTAAGAAGTTTGGATAATGTTTATTCTTTTATTATGCGTCGAAATTCTATATTCTATATATTATGCGGTACTCGATCGATCCTCAATGGATATATATAGATATGTCTGCTACCGAAAGGAATATATGATTAATCGAAAGTGAATACTCAATGTTCTTAATTATCTAGTCATTGCGTGAGAAATGGAACGCGTTCACATTTAAGGACATTTCTATCGTGATGTACATCTGTTATTACATTAATTATACTCAAAGCATGTGGCTTTGAAGGAAACCATCAGGTAGACTCTCTTGTACATATTCCTCTGTACCACTTGCTGATTATGATAAGGTGAAGGACGTTTCATCCTATACCTTACCCTCCAATAGATTGTGCCCACAAGGGTCGCACATTGTATACCTTATTGGCTTGATAATAATTGTCACATGCATGTGCTTAAAACTAAGGTGGCTCCACCTGTGAGCTCACTTATAAACAATTCTGAAATGGGCCTCAAATTACCTACTTAAATGATCAACATAATTGGATTCATCGGACAACACAATTACAAATTGATGAAATTCAAATGTTTGTGACACATTGATCGACCGTGCTCAAGTCTTACGAAACATTAAAGCAGTGTACATTCCAAAAATATAAATACTCCCACCATCTCATAAGATTCACTCTTAAAATATTTGATGAACAATTAATATAAAATAAATTAAATTTCATTTGGTGAAAAACAATATTATTTGATTACTACTTGAGATTAATTTCCTATGGTCATCGTTTTGTTGCTATAAACCCTATAGATGTGAAAAATAAAATTTTAGGAGTAAATTAATTTCACTTTGGTCTGCAGTTAAAAAATTCACTTTAATTTGGTCAACTTTTATTTACCGAAATTTCACATTGGACTAGAGTTAGACTTATGTTTTTACTTAACACCATATATAGTTATCATCATTTGCACTTTGGACTGGGTTTAACAAATTACAAATAGTACAATGATTGTAGATATGATCTCATTTCTTTTTTGTGTTAGAAAACTTAGAATTCAACAATTTGTACTTACACTACAGTTGGGTATTGTAAAACATGTAATATCTTTTCTAGAAAAAATAGTTCTTAAACTCAGTATTTCTCCAATTTTGTTTCTAGTATAAGAGTTGTGAATGTTCATATATATATATATATATATATATATATATATATATATATATGTATGTATGTATATGTAGTAGTGTTAAGTGAAAACATGAGTCTAGCCCTAGCCCAATGTGAAATTTTGGTCAGTAAAGAAGGTCCGAAGTGAAGTTTACTCAAAAATTAGTTTTGCAGAGAGTACCAAGTTTGATTATGTCTTATACTATGAGATAAATTAATGGAGAAATAATATAAAGTATAGCAACTTAGGATCAAATTAAACACATCCTATTACAAATCTAGATAGAGGTTTGTCTAAATTTATAGTACTCTAAAATAGCTAATCCGATTCCAAATTATTATATTTTAGTATAGAGGGAGCAGTACACTAACACAAGACGATGCCGGATCACTGAGACATTGTATATGCAAATACCTGAGGACTAAAGGGCCAAAAGGGGAAAGAAATACATACGAGTGAAAAGGACGTAATAGCCCATCTCTATCTCTCTCTCATCTTCAACGCTGCTCAAGAAGCCAGTCAAATCGCCGCGGTGCAACGTGCAAGATGTGCGCCTTATATCATCAGCTTGCTTTCCTTTTCCCTCCCTTTCTCTTTCCAACCCCTGCCACCCAACACGTCTCCCTCTCCTTCCCTCTCTCCACAAAATATGCACCACGCGCGCGCCGCGTCCTCCTCCTTCCTTCTCTCTCCTCCCTCCGCCTTCTATAAATAAGCTCGAACCTCCCATCCCCCTCTTCCCTAACCCCAACCTCCGCAGCAAGCTCCACCACTTTGCTTGCTGCTGCTCGAGCGCTCGATCGGTCTCCGCTCCAATGGCGATACACCTGACCAACCCTCCTCCGGGGCTCTACGCCACCAAGACACCCTCGCAGCAGCAGCAGCAGCACAGGCCCGCGGGTAGCCATGCCGCTGCGGCGGCGGCGGCGACGGTGGCGATGCCGCAGACGGCGTCCGCGGCGTCGTCGAGCGTGGCGGTGAAGAAGAACATGAGGCAGGCTGCGCCGGTGGTGGTGGCGAGGAGGAGGACGACAGCGGTGGAGAGTGGCGGAGTGGCGTTGGCGAGCGTGTGGAGGGAGGTGCAGGGGGAGAGGGATTGGGAGGGCATGGTGGAGGGCACGGCCGAGGAGGAGCTGCACCCGCTCCTCCGCGGCGAGATCGTCCGGTACGGCGAGCTGGTGGCGGCGACGTACAAGGCGTTCGACCTCGACGCCGCGTCAAAGCGCTACCTCAACTGCAAGTACGGCAAGGCCCGGATGCTCGACGAGGTCGGCATGGCCGGCGCAGGGTACGAGGTCACGAGGTACATCTACGCCGCGCCCGACCTCGCCGCCGGCCCGCCGTGCCCGAGCCGGTGGATCGGGTACGTCGCCGTGGCCACGGACGAGGCGGTGCGCCGCCTCGGCCGCCGCGACATCGTCGTGTCGTTCCGCGGCACGGTCACCGGGTCCGAGTGGGTGGCCAACATGATGAGCTCGCTGGCGCCGGCGAGGTTCGACCCGGCCGACCCGCGCCCCGACGTGAAGGTCGAGTCGGGCTTCCTCTCCGTCTACACCTCCGACGACGCCACCTGCCGCTTCACCTGCGGCAGCTGCCGGAACCAGCTCCTCTCCGAGGTGACCCGCCTCATCGCCAAGCACAAGCACGAGGACGTCAGCGTCACCCTCGCCGGCCACAGCATGGGCAGCTCGCTGGCGCTGCTACTAGGCTATGACCTCGCCGAGCTTGGCCTCAACCGGGACGCCCGCGGCCGCGCCGTGCCGATCACCGTCTTCTCCTTCGCCGGCCCTCGTGTCGGGAACACGGCGTTCAAGGACAGGTGCGACGAGCTCGGCGTCAAGGTGCTCAGGGTGGTAAATGTGAACGACCCCATCACCAAGCTCCCCGGCATCTTCCTGAACGAGAATTCTAGGGTTTTGGGAGGCAAGCTGGAGCTGCCATGGAGTAGCTCATGCTACACACATGTGGGAGTGGAGCTTGCCCTAGACTTCTTCAAGGCGAGAGACCCAGCTTGTGTGCATGACTTGGAAGCATACTTAGGGTTGCTCAAGTGCCCTAAGGTGACAAAAGTGATGAAAGAAGGGGAGGATCTCTTTAGCAAGGCCAAGAAAATTGTTCTTGAGCAAAGTTTTGACACTTGGAGGTGGCAAATGGCTGCAATTCAAGTTGGTGGCTTGGTACAAGCCCTAGGAATGTAGGCCTCATACGGGGTTTTGTTTTTGTTTCCCACGATTTTTGAGGGAAATGAAGGCTCACATACCCTTGTAAATTGAAAATTTTTTGTGGGGGTAAATCAGGTAGATCGAAGACATATATAGTGGAAAACATACAGAATATATAGGACATTGTTCATGAATGTAAGTTAACCAATTGAACACAACAAAGTATACTGATTATACTGAATATATATTACTCCTTGGCGTCTATGTATTCAAGTGTTCTTCGATTTTTAGTTCTTGTTACTAATCTAGCAGTTTTTGCAATTAAATCATAACATAACAAAATAATAATGATGATAATAATAATAATTTTTATTATAAAACAAAATGTGAATAATTAATGTACGATTAATCTTGATATGAGATAGCCTAAAAACACTATAGTTTTGACTACTAAATTTTAATTCCATAATTATGTTTGATCTGAATCTTTTTTTTTTCGTGGCTAATAGAACCTTCAAAAATGTGACACGTGATGTAAAAATTATGTGGATCAGAACCTTAAAAACTTGGGAAGGAAAAAAATATGATTCTCTGTGTTTTCTTTAGTTCCAATTTTCGCATAGAGTTTGTTGTGTGTAAAAAATGCAACATTTGACACAACAAAGTTCTGATTGAATACTTTGAACATTACTAGACAAGTTTAATTTTCATCCTTATTAAATTCAGAAAGTACCATCTTTTCTTGGAAGGTACTTTTTTTTTAAGAAAATAACAGCCATGGTATTTTGTCTATAAACTATATATTTGCACTAGTTTGCCTTGATTCACAAAATAGAGTTGAACAGATTTTTTTTGTTGATTTGAGTCAAAAATATATTATCTGAAATGCTGGCAAAAAATTTAAAAAAAACTAACACTGCACACTGCTCAAATCAATTATTTCCTCGGTCCTATAATCAGGTCATTTTTTATCCATCCCACACATGACACATATCAATAAAATCGAAAAAATAAATAGAATACTCCATTTTATCAAATCCCAATGCAATCATTCCTTATTTTATTTACATCCAAAATATTTATCCCATACTTTCATGAAGTACGATTGCTAAAAAATAATTTATTTTCGTACAAACAGGAGGGACGAAAAATAAAATGGACAGGAGTACACAAACTTGCAATAATTGTCAAAGACACAAACGAACATACACCTATCTAACTGTTACCGGCTTGACTCATGCATGCTGATTACGAAATACATGAGAGAAGCATCTTATATTTCTAATCGGTTCCTACTAACAGTTTCAAATGTTCTACAGTATGTGATGTACGCAATTGTCAATTATTGTATACGTTTCTCCCTATTATCTTTTTCTAAAAGCCTGTTTTAACTGGGCGTTGTCTGGTTAATTAAGGCGGTTACTACAAAATAAAAAGAATTATGTGGAAAACTGCCATCTCAATGTGAAATTTCTACTATTATAAAAATTGAAATTGTTTCCACCAAAATTTTGGTACGTCATCCGGGTTTCAGATAATTTTTTGACTTGATTGTACGTCGCCCATACCCAATTCAACATGAGTCAAGAATAACTATTATACACTCCCAGCCTAACTCAACCAGCCCACACCATCCCACCACCCTGTCTCATGTGCCTCCACTCGACGCTGCGCGCCCCTCATCCGATCGATGTCTTTTCTCTCTCTCTCTCTCTCTCTCTCTCTCTCTCTCTCTCCGTTTTTTCATTTTCTTTTTCTCCTTTTATTTTCTCCCAATCACCCTCATCCTCTTGCTCTCCTTCCAATCTCCTGTGTTTTCTCCTCCTTTTCTCTTTTTTCTTCATTTTTTTCTTCCAAATTTCTCTCCTCATAAATATTTTCCTTTTAAAATTATCAGTTTAAAGTGTGTGTGCAGCTAATTACTTTGTAAATACTTTTCATCTATAGTAAAAAACTTCCGTTAATTGAATATTCAAATTTTCAATCTTTGGTTGATGAGGTGTAGCAAAATACACATGCGTCAACTTATGGAATAGTCACCCGATTGATTTGTGAGGCTAGGGAAAGGTGTACATAAGGGATTCTTCGTGTGATTACACATGAAGCGAGCACAACCGGGTTCAATATGGTAGAATTTTTATTAACCGTGGAAATTGTTTTTTTAGCAAAAATACTACTAGGCGTCGCCCAGTAGTTTTAATAATTGTTTTCACTTGTTGCAACGCAACAAGCATTTTTGCTAGTACCTAACTAAGAGAGGAAACTTACAAAATTAATTAGCATTTGTAATAATGTATACACATCTTAACTGCTTTAAATTAAAAGTACTCATCTTCCTTTTCTGTCTTTGAAAAATCTTCCTCCCCAGAAAACCACTCCCCCATTTTTCCATCTAACGCTTCCAAAAAATGAAAAACTCAACTTATTTTGAAAAACTACTATAGAAAGAAATTTAATCTTATCCCGATTCTTTTACAAAGCACGAGCATGTAAATAGTGTTGGAGATAAAAGGGAGTCTTTTTATTATAACATGGCTTATATGTACAAGTTAAAGAATTTGCAATAGGAGAAAACAAAATAATATGGTAAATTTGCACTGTGAAACCTAGGAGACTCATCTTTTCGTTTATGCTTATACTTATTAGCCAAAATTTGAATTTATTACCTTAAATTTGGAGCTAATTTTGAGGTTTTTCATCGAAGTTTATTTTTCAGCCTTTACTTTTAGGTCGCTAATAACACGTATATAAAAGTTTTATTTACAAAGTATTTTTCATTTGTAAATATGCCGTTTGGCTTATTCCACAAATAAGCGAAATAATGGGGCTGCTAGATTATGCACCATGTTGGTCATAAATTATTTCTTATAACAAAAAACATGATGCTTTTTAAATAAAAATCACTATTTTCTTCTTGTAATTAAATACTATTCTAGTGCCTTATCATAGTTCCAGCTACATGCGTGCCCATTTCCACCTGATTTAATACTTTCTATGAACCATGCAAACAACACAATTGCTGTATCCATCCCATAATAAGGCTATGCTTGGTTCCCTTCAAACTTCTACAAATTCTGTCACATCATATGTTTGGACACATGTATAGAGTATTAAATGTGGACGAAAAAAACCAATTACACAATTTGCATGTAAATTGCGAAACGAATCTTTTAAGCATAATTACTCCATGATTTGATAATGTGGTGCTACAGTAAACATTTGCTAATGACGGATTAATTAGGCTTAATAGATTCATCTTGCAGTTTACAGGCTCTATAATTTGTTTTGTTATTAATCTGTGCTTAATACTTCAAATGTGTGTCTATATATTTTAAAAAAACTTTTGAAAAGGAACTAAATACATAAGTGTTATTATAGGATTTAAATTTTTCCCATAATAAATGACATCCTAGATACTCACAACTTTTAATATGTTCCTCCAACCACCCCTCACTCAATTTGCTACCCATCTACCCCCTAACTACCTTCCCATTCTCAATCCCTCCCTTTAGAAGCTAGATAGCCCACTTGATTGCATGCTTTGTTTGACATAATCATGCATGTTGCCAACAAATTGTTGGCCTTAATTAACATGCATAGAAATTGTTGGCCTAAGTTTCCCATAAATTATCTCCACCACGTACAGGCAGGTAATTATGTGTGGCAAGAGCTAGCTAACAGTGTAGTTAGGCAAAGACTAAGATGTCGGTCAAATCAGTTGTGAAACCCGGTGAGAATTAATGAAACAAGCCCTTGCATAGTTGCATTGGGCTACACTGCGCAAAGCAATCAATTTTGAGCGAGTTGTACATGCACAGCTTACATTAATTATCTCATAATGAAAATCCTTGAGATTCAATAGAGTTAGATTAGATCCTTCGATGTAGCAGTAAAAAAAATAAAAGCTCAAAGCTCGTGGTGCTGGTTGACTCATATTAAGAGCTCGTTTGAACTTAGACCCATATATAAGAGCAAGTTTAATAGTAGAGCTCACTCTTACTAGTATAAGTCAATATTAGATCTAACTTGTATAATAGGTTAGCTATAAGGTTAACTTTATTTTTTCCATTCTCTCTCTATCTCTAACTCTGAATTTAATGCATATTTCTTGGAGCTTGTGTGAAGCTGGCTCATGAGAGCTAATACTATCCGTTTTTCTTTATCTCTCTTCCACATAAGCATATAGCTTGCTTATAGCCCATTATTATCCTTGTTCAGTAAGTCAAGCCAAGTTGAAGTACTTTTCGCTCGTTAACTTAACAAAGCACCCACAAGCTTCTCATTAAGCTTGTTATTAGTATATACAAAGGTCATCCTATTTTTTAACTAGTGCTAATTAGTTCTTAGTTTTTAAATTACTTACCTATCCTATTTAGTTAGCACTTCAGTGTAGTTAATGTATGGTATTGTGTAAACATATTTAAATAAATATATATCATAGATTGGTACAATTTAAAATTATAGGGCTGGTATAAATGGTATATAAAACTCGTTAATAAGTCTAACAAGCTTAACGAGTTAGCCTCACGAGCCACACTGTCTTTTAGCTCCTCAAGATTAATGAGATGAGTGGAAGCTGTCTCTCGTTATATTGCAATACATTATATTGATTAGTGTGTAATGTTATAGGCGAACTCGATCGCAATCCATCAATCTAGTCAACCACTCTATCAAAAAAAAATCTCTGAAAAAACTGCTCTATCACAAAATAACAGTAAAACCTTATATAACCAATTTTGTCACTAAACCTAAACTCAAACACCGTGCAATTGATCCTACCTGTTCTCTTCATGCAACCTCTTTTTTATAAAAAAAAAATACTACTCGCTCTATCAAAAAATCTAGACATCACCCTTGTCTAGAATTATATCTAAAGGTAAGTATATTTTGTGACGGAAAAAGTATGTACATATTATATAAAAAAATGGAAGTCCAGTACACTCTCAAGCTGTCGGATCATCTGTTTTGATCAAAGGCAACATCTGGTGGCTGACATTTTTATTCCTCCAATTAAAAGGACATCATAACGACTAGGTAACAAATGGAAGGTTCATGTTTCTCCAAACCGAGCATATATATGGCCAAGATTAATTTAACAGCAAGCAAAGCAAATCTTCACTGACAAGTGACAGAGTGGCGTTTTCCGGCGCCGAAGGGTGTACTTTCGCCATGTGCATGTCTCCGTCCATTGGTCGGAAGAATTAATGCAATCTACATAGCTGCTGGAAAATATTGGCGCAAACGTTGGTG